AATTGGAGACAGTCAATCCAACAAGAGGTAAACTACACTAGTCTATGTATACATGTATAATGAAAATTTATGTTTACTTAAATGACTAATTTGACTGTGATTTATTGAATCCTTCATGATTTGTAATACTAATCCAGTTACTTTTTACACATCTATAATATCGTTTTGATTTATGCTTACATGCATAAAGTTACACATTTTATTAAACTCTCTTGGCAGGGTTCTCTACGTCTCTGAAGTTTATATTTTAAAAGGATATATATGGCAAATTATATTATAATTGATATACATTTGTATTCTTTTACTTTGCAATTTCCCCATGCATCGGGATAGAGTTCGAACTTTTTAGACCTGACGCTATATTGACAAAATATGACGTTACATATACAAACATGTAAAGTCATGTTTTTGTCGGATGCAAGTAATAGTATTGTTGTATGTGTATTACATTTAAAATGTTGTTATTTTGAATTTAATTTTAACCGTGTTAAAATTCATGGCAAAGAAATAATGGAAGATAAAGAATTGTTCTATCATTTTTGGATGTGAAAGAAAGTATCAAAATGAAGATGACGGAGGATTGCAAATGCATATATTTTCACTCGAAACGATTCACCAGGTTCATGCGTTCCATAAGCATGAAAGACGGTTGTTTGACCGAAATTCACAGTGTAACTACTAGTATAACATGCCTCAGTATTAGAAAAACAGGCACGTGGAATGCCGTAGAATTTTCTTTCGCTCAGATCAAGAGATTGATAAACCTAATGCATCGTACAAATCGAGCTGCATTTGTTTGACAATGGCGGACTAGCACACTTTAATAAATGGTTTTCCTTTGAGTTATTTTAAGCAAGAGTAATTCCCCTTGGTTGGAAGTGGGATGCTTAAAGAGTAATGCTTCTTTTTACTAGTTTCAAAGATAACATACTAAAAATGAATACTATAAGGTAAAATTTATATTAAAAAATATCAGATATTTAATTTTAAGATTGATATTATCTTTCTCGTTAGGCAATGAAAATTCATGTTTTCAGTATTTTGAGAAACTATATAAATATCACATCTGGTAATTAAATAAGGATTAAAACCCCTTATTAGTGTAAAATGTTTTATCAAACGTGCATTTTTGATTAATATGATGAGGGCTCAAAATCAACTAACAGTAATAGACTATGGCACGCCAAATTCACAAAAATGAACTTAACACAGTTTCACAGTTGATAAACTATGTTAACTTCGTTAACTACAGGGAAATTTTTGCCCCTGTTTTATTTTCTCCCCTCCCTCATTAGGGCGAATTTAAAACGGTGCAAATTAAAATAATACAGTATTATTTCTCAATCAAAACTCTGAAAGAGCAAATTTATCTTCCGAAATTGTTTGCAAGTTTGGAAGGGCAAAAATAATACAGGGCGAAAATAACTCTGTATATAGTATAGTTTTTATCTGTAAAACTATATTCAACGGTTGTTAACTTTAGTTTACGAATGCTTACCTACGTTTATCTGTCTGTAATACAACGTCCTCAATAGATTTTGTTGATAAACATTCATTTGATTCACGTCAGTAAACTATTATAATTTAGAATCGAGAACTATAGTTAAGAATAGTTAAGAACAGTTTCACAAATCGTGAAACTATACTTATCACATCGTTTACTATAGTTAAGAGTAACTGTTGTTAATCATAGTTTACAAATCGTTAAACTGTATTTATCAGATAGTCTTTGGTTTGCAGTCGCAAATGAGTGTTTCCAGTGTTAATTACAGTTAATTCTTGTAAAATATAGATTATCGCGTAAACTTTAGTTTGCAAATGTCAAATATAGATTTTTATCGTTACCTGTAGTTTACGGACCATAAACTATAGTTAACAGTCGATTAACCTAGTTTATCAACTGTGAAACTGTGATTAGCTCATTTTTGTGAATTTGAGGTGCCATAATTGACTGAAAATCATTCAACCTTTAAATTAATGATTTGGCAAAGATAAACTTTAAAAGTTCAAAGTTATAACCCTTTTTAATCCCCCCCCCTTAAATTAGAGTTTTGCGTTTCTTTTACGTTTAATATCAGTATATATCGTATATCATTTTACATGTATAGCGATAAGTCGTCATTTCTTTTATATGGATTTTCCTATTGTTTGAATAGATTTTATAAAATAAAAGGACACTTTTGCAGTGTTCAGAACGTTAATTATTGATAGATATGTCGACCCAAATCCAATGAATTGAAGCTAATCTTTTAGATGATAACCATGATATGATGATTCAAAATGAATTCTGAAAGTTATTCTGAATCATAATTTCTATACCTATACGTCTAAATGCATCGTTTAATGTCAAATGTTGTAGCAATCATCTTTTATTTCACTTTCTTATATTTTGGAATTATACCGACTTTTTCTTGCAAATCTTGTAATTCAGCTACTTTTTTAATCAACAACTTTAAGAATTCTCGAACAGAAGTTGGGTCTGAAATTAAAGTTCTTTCCGATACAAGTCTTACAAAATGTATGTTGGTTTGTCATAAATTTACACTATGTGGATCAGTGGACTGGAGCAAAACTGATAGAATTTGTGTATTAAATGCGAAGAATCACACCAAGAATTCAACTTTTTCTCTGACCAAAACTGAAAATATCCATGTGGACCGCAAAGACTTTCCAGAGGTAAGGAAAACTTTGATAAACTTTCAAATCATTGTTCGTCATGGACCAATGTTCTGGGATTTTATCATTCACCATTTCACACAAATTTTCATCATCACGAAAGATTAATTTTTTAAACAATAATTGGTTAAATCAACTCAATAATCGTTTTTTTTTTCAACGAAATTACGTCTCCGAAATAAGTAAAGTTTTGTTTGCTGACGAACATTCACCCCATAGAATTAATATGATTCTACAGTAACTGTAGATTTCCTTCAAAATCTTTATGTAATTAAACGTGAAATATATTTTTTTTTTCATTTTTATAATCTTAGGCTGTTGCAGGGGATTGTCTCTTACATTCCTGTAACCTAAACTGGATCTGCATTAATGTTCCTGTGGTACGAGGTAAGAGTTTATTTTAAAAGTTAAGTTTCTTCTAATTGATCGATTAAATCATTAAAATAAAGGAAAGATTATGACAATTGGTTTTGCAATTTTATTTATTTATCTTTAATATATTAAAATTGATATAATTACGATTTTTTCCTCAATACTTTATAAGAGAGAATGTAGCGTAAAACATACATTGTCCATAATGTAAAGGTGCCATTTACATGATTAAAAAAATTAAGATTGAACGTTATGTATGAAAGAACAAGTTGTGCATTCCTGTTTCTTTTAAAGTTTATTTTGGACGTTCAAATGTAAAAATTTGTTGTAGGATAAACAAAATACATGATGACTCTCTTAAATATAAGCGAGAAATATAAGCGATATTTGAGCTCGGGTCAAAACGTCGCAAGCCTCGCCCGCTATCACGTTTTCTTACCCTCCCTCAAATATCGCTTATATGTCAAGACAATAACTATGTATTTTATATATATCTTGTAACCAGACGGGGATTAAAACGGGTAGGAAATAGGCAAAAATATCCAAAGGTTTAAAAATAATTGTGAACATGATAAAGAGGACGGGGCAAACAGTTGTAACAGTGAATTTATAATATATTTCCGAATCAACCATTTAGGTTTTTTATATCATATGAATGTAATGTAAAAGTTTTAACAATTACAGAGTCGTGTCGTATTAAATTTGGAATGCTTTTATGACGTCGTATCTGGATATTACACTAGTTAGAGCAACCGGTATGCAGTGACATTTATGTATTGTTATCATAGCGGTATTCAATCCATTACAAAAAATAAGAATTAAAAGCTTTACTTTATCTGTCGGTGTAACAGAGTTAGAATTTCATAAATACATGTTGTGTAGTAGCATATATAGTACCGGCACACGTGACAAATAAGGGAAATTTGATTATATTCTGTGTGGATGAAGAATATTGTGATAACGAACAGCAGTCAATCAATTAGAGAAGTACGTACATAAAGTTAATTCTTCTGGAAATAGGTTTGTGGTATATCTTTTTTTTCCCTGAAAGATGAACACGTTTTAATGCGAATTACATATACTGTGAAATCACTAATTCACGTGTTGGGCGCTAATTTTCGTTGTTTTCGAGGTATAGGGAGACCCACGAATTTATTACCACCACAAAATGTACAAATTGATAGGCATTAATTTTACAAGTTTTTCCAACCACGAAATTAAATCCCCACAAACCATATTTTTTCCTCAAACCTTGAAAATTTTAACCAAACGAAAATACTGTGATTTTACAGTAGTCTTACAATGTGTGTCAGAAAACCAATTCAATCATTGAGGGATAATTTTTAAACTCAATTAAAAATTAAGCACTTTCATTCTCTTTGAGGCTTTCATCTTTAGCTTTATAAAGAGCTTTATAAAATTGCCACAGCGTAATATGAATTTTTAACGGCTTCTAGCTTGCAGTGCAATATCAGCAATTTTGCCAGATCAAACGTTTAATTATTCAATCAAAGCTGCAAGTGACTACTTTCATTTAAAAATCAATTGCAAAAAAAAAACACAAAACCATTAAGTTCCAAATCACTTTAAAGGTCAAGTACGGTAAAAATAGATCTTAAAAATGATGATTATAAATCATAAAAAAGCATAAATAATTACACATACATGTAATTAAAATATGCAGTAGAATATTATGATATATACAAACATACATTGTACAAAAGTGATGAAAATGGTATTGAAATCCTGTTTTGAAACATAAATTCTAGGAAACATGAAATTTTATTTTTTTTCTTTTGATGAGTGAGGATTTCTGCATTTCTATATGCTATCATAAGTGATAAAAACAATAAGTTCTGTATAGTAATAATGCTATGCTGAAAACAATAGAAATATTTCAAATTGTTTTTATAATCTTTTTATCTATTGTCATCTCTATAAATTTAAAAGAGACTTGCTTAGATCACCTTCGAGAAGATTCGCATTTAAGAGGAAGAGATGGGGTATATCAGATATATGTAGCCTCAGAAGTGAAAGCTGTGTATTGTGACATGAGCACTGACGGAGGGGGATGGACAGTAAGTTAAATTTAATACATTTAATAGATGTAACTGACATAGTATAGCAAACACAGTGTAAAGTTGTTACAACCATAGTATAAGTTGTTACAACCATAATGTAAACTTTTCCACAACCATAGTGTAAAGTTGTTACAACCATAGTGTATAGTTGCTACAACAATAATGTAAAGTTACAACCATAGTGTAAAGTAACAAACATAGTAAAGTTGTTACAACCAAACTATAAGAGTAATGTTGTTACTAAGAGCATGTAAAATTTGTTACAAACGTTACAACCATAGTTTAAAGTTGTAACAAATATTGTGTAAAGTTGTTACAACTATAGTGTTAAGTGGTACCTAACATATAGTTAAGTTGTTACAACCATAGTTTAAAGTGGTAACATAGTGTAAAGTTGTTACTCACATAGTGTAAGATTGTTAAAAACTAAAAGTAAAGTTCTATCTAACTTAGTGAAACGATGTAAAATACACAGTGTAAAGCTGTAATTGACATGGTGTAAAGTTGTACCCAACATAGTACACGTATAAAGTGGTACGTGTAACTGCATGTTAAATAGTGTAAAAGTTGATCTGAAATATAAGTATAGAACGAACGGTATTCAAGATCGTAAGTCTGTAAAACAACACAAAGTAGGAGCAGCCAATCTCGGATCTGCAAAAAATAAAGAAAATGTTGGATTAGGTGTACATGTAATATAAAAGTGATCATCCTTTAAAGACCGGTCTCAACCGCCGTTTGCTTCTTATCATATTCGAATCCGTCGATAGTTCAGTGTGTATATAAAGACCTAATAATTGCATGTAGTATCAAAAATGTCGGTCAGCATTTGAACTCATTAAAAATTGCTTTTGCTGATAAGGTCATTGTATCGACTATGGAACTTCAGAAATGATAACTTTAAGCAAGACTTCTGATATTTTTGTTTCAGCAATGTGTTTGTCAATTGATTGCCTCGTTTTAGAAATCGTACAATAATTGTATATTTAACTTCATCTACAAAAAACTTATTACTTTGGGTAGCATCGACACAAAGAAACAAACGTTAAGCTTATTTACTGTTTACTCAAATAGATACTATTATATAGTCTAGCATTAAATGTCTAGCAATAACTTTATATGACATAAAATTGCCATTGATTGAAGGCTATTCAACGACGACAGGACAATTCTACAGATTTCTTTCGAACATGGATAGAATATAAAGAAGGTTTTGGTGACCCGTTCAGAAACTATTGGATTGGTAAGTTTTATTTTAATTGTATTGCAAACATACGTGAAAAAAAAAATATAATTTTAAGTTTAAAATCCGTTGTTTAACCTTGGAAGAAGAAGACTATTTTCATGCAATTTATTTTGTTATAAATCACAAAGAATAAATTCTTTGTTATAAAATTTTGATTGCGAGTCATAAGTCGACAAAATAATTATAAAGTGTAAACCAATTTTTATTCGCGTGAAAACAATTTTTGCGAGGTTTGCGAAAGCCTCATCTTTGCAAATATGTCTAGCTGCGAACCGGTGTTTAAAGTCTTTGTGTCAATTCAGAACAGAGTTAAAACAGACTTGATCGCAGATATTAATCGTTGCAAAGTAGTTAAAAAATTTAACCACATTAAATGACGAAATGAAGTTGTCGCGAAATAAAGTTGGTTTACAAAAAACATCAAAATAAAATATTTTCATTTTTTAAATAATTTGCATTGTTAGACATCCAATACACAAATTCTCAATTTATGTCATCCTCACTATTCTAATTATCTAAATTCAATTTTGTTTATTATATTTTATGAAATTAAATACATGTACATGATTCAATATTGCCTAAATATTTTTCATTGAAAAAAAGGAAACGATGCAATTCACACCTTAACTAAAAAGGGGGACCTGGAACTTCGGATTGAGCTCCAGCGTTTTAATGGAGAAAGGGCTTTCGCTCAATACTCCACGTTTTCCATTGGGAATGAGGACAGTTACTATAAACTCCTGGTGTCTGGGTATTCTGGAACAGCTGGTAAATAAATATATTTTTCTTTTTAAGAAATATACATTGATTGAATTTCAGTTCCACTTCGATTTCCGAAATATCAAGCCCATTTTAAGAATTTATTTCTATACATGTATATCAAAAAAATGTATCTTAAGTTGTAAAGTCGTAAGTTTTTATGTTACATGTTTTGATTTTGGTAAAAATTTGTGATTTAAAATGTTTCAAAAGTGCCTTGGAACTTTTTTCATACCACATCTGCTTTTCTCCACTTCTCAAATACATGTATATTGTTGAACAATATTCTTGAAATTTCCCCTTCCCTACTGTTAATATCTCAGTGAGGAGTAAAGAAATTAACTTGATAGAATATTTACCATGTTAATTAAATCCTTGATTTTTTTTCATGAAACAATTTTTATTTTATTCATCGTTATAAGATTCAAAGTTTTTAGAACTCTTAGAAAAGGGTCTAATAAAGGTTGACATTTGTACCCTATAAAAGGGAAAAAAATACATTTTAGAGAAACTTTAATATAATATTAATATTAAGATATAAGATTTTCTTCAATCCAGCCTTAGACACCAATGCTTCTTAGCATGCATGATATGTAGTAAGTAGTGATTATAGTGTCTGCAAAGATTGCAAAACCCTTTAAAACTAAGTATTATAGTATTTTATGGAATTTTTTGTCTTCTATTTCCGTCAAGTATTATAGAATACATGACGGAAATAGAAAACAAAAGATACCAAATCAGTATAAAAATCCAGACAATTTCTCTGAATGCCTGGATGCCTATCTTTTTTTAAAACCTAAAATATATTTGTTGATCAATTTGCAATTAGAAAATGCATTGCTGATACTCTAATTCACTTTTTCTGCAAAAATATTGTTGTTGATTTGACAATTTTCCATATATAACATAATTGACTTTTATCTTTAACATTTAAGAAATACTGTGGATAAATTTATATAAATTTGTGGATTCATAGATACTTTTTTGAGTATTCATCATTACTTAACTTCTGAATTTATTAATCTGCGGAACGGACTACCTTAACAAACAAATTGATTCTCTTATATCCGACTTTAGACAAAAAAAACCTTTTAATAAGAAATAATAACAAATTCATAGAAAAAAATATTGATGAATAAAATAATGATGATAAAAATATACGGACATTTTAGCAATACAACAAATTCCTCAGATGAGAAATGATTATTTAAGTGTTCTTAAAATGATAAAATCATGTTACAGGTGATAGTTTGACTTATCACAATAACAGAAGATTTGCTACTAAGGACAGTGACGTTGTTTATCTTGGACGATATTGTGCAACGGAACGTCATGGTGCTTGGTGGTACTATCATTGTAGTTACTCAAATCTAAACGCTAAATACGGAGACGTTGGAGATAACGGACCAGGATACGTGGTATGGGATCACTGGACAGGAGGCGAATCACTTAAAGAAACCATGATGATGATCAGAGAAAGTCCTTAATTCAATCATCCTTCAAACCGCAGCTCACCAGGATATGTTTTGCTTATCGACCTCGACACTGTTTTATGCGTGTAAAACGGTTAAAATTTTTTGCGCCTCGGTAATATGTGCGAGGGTAATAAATTAGGAATTTTTTAAATATCGA